AACATCAACAGCAGCAGCAGCAGTGGCAGTGGCAGCGTCTGAGTTTCACGCTGGACGTCTCTGCCTGGCAAAGCCTGCTTCACGAAGCGGAGCTGAGTGCTGTGCGGGAGCTACGGCAACGTGTCGTACAAGTAGAGATCAAGGCCGTTAATTTGTACGGCAGATCTCATTACCCAGATTCACACCGGCGATTGGCTGTCGTACAGCAGGTGTTCGAGGTGCTGGGGGAGCCGCGGGAGATCCTGCTCGATTTGTCATCTCCTGAGAACTACGGCCTCGAAATTCGCATGCAGTTGGTGGCCGTTGCTGGACCCGGACCCCGCTATGGTGCAGCAGCGGGCGCAGCGACTGGACCGAGAGATCCTGCCATGCATGGGCTGGGCTGCGAGGCTGGAGCCCGCAGGGAAACATGGAGCGCAACAGCAGCAGCCACAACCGCCGGTGCCGTTCTCATTGCCCACAATACCATATAGTTGTCAAGTTGTGAAGGCCGCCCAGTTGCGACCTTCCTCCGCTCGCCCGCACTCGCACCGGCAAGCCAGTTCCCCCAAGCCATACCTCGTCACGCATAGCATGCCCCTGCAAATATCAACCCCCGGGAACCCCGGCGTGCACACCTGAATCAGTAGCCCCACACATCCCCACCTTATACCTAGGTCACGCAACCTTGTTAAAAGACAGCCCCTGCCGGAAAGCAGGCACAACACACATTGAATGTGGCCTATATGCACTTTAGCCGAGTGCCGGTATCACAGCACGCTTTAAACACGAGCTTCCACGGCCCCCTGCTCAAGTCGTAATCATGGCCTGTGGCATCCATTCTTCAGGTGGGGCTCAAGCAGAACGGAGCCTTCAACTGCTAACACGCTAACTACCAAACGCACAGTCTGACCGGTAATCAACAGCAAAGCGGTCCTCCAGCAACAGCACCCGTCACCGCTGTCGCTAACGGCTGCCGCCGCCCGCCGTCTCCTCCACCCCTCCAGCCACACCCAGGGCCGCATGCAGCGCCCCAAGCACTTGGCTCCGCACCTCCCGAGCACTCGGCCTTCCTCCATCGCCGCGTCGTCCTGATCCCCCGCCCTCGCCACCTGCCGCACCCCCTTCACCACCACCACCAAGTACACCGCTGTAGCCATCGCTGCCGGTGCTGGGGAATCCTGAGCCGCGCCCCCAGGGCGGCAGCGGCAGCACCTCCACCCGCCAGCCTCGCGCCCGCAGCAGCCGCGCCTTCAACCCCAACGCGCCCCACAGCACCTCCGGCCGCCCCACCGCATGACCCCCAGGCGGGGCCAGCAGGAACGCATAGCGGCCATCCCCACCCCCATCCCCACCGCCTGCTGTGGACGTCCCAGTCCCAGTCCCTGCACTCGCACCCGCACTACCAACCGGCCAAGCTGCTGCATCCGACCCATGGGTCTGGCTCCTCACACCCATGCCTGGCCCCGCTGTGATGGGCGCCACCGCCGCCACGTCCACCGGCACCCTGCCGTCCTCCGACCGCCCGTTGCTGCGCACCTCCCGGAAGCCCATGTCGTGCAGCGCCGCGCAGAGCTCCGCCACCGCCCGGCGGGAGGACAGCGCCGGCGCCGCATGCCACACACCCTCCAGCCGGGCTAGCAGCGGGCCGGGCAGCGGCAGAGGAGGAGGAGCAGGCAGCGACGCCTGCACTGTGCCGCTGGCAGCAGCAGGGGTCATACCGTTGCCGTCATGGTCGCCCACATCGCTCCTGTCCGCACCATTGCCGCCAGCAGCAGCAGTGGTGCCGCTGTTGCAAGGGCGGTTGGCGTTGGTTAGGCGGTTGTTGAGGTGGTTGTGGTAGTCCGCTGCGGCCGCATGTGCCTGCGCCAGCTGCACCAGCTCCGACTGCAGGAGGGAGTCGGGGCGCATGGCCGCAAGCAGCTCAGCAACAGCCGCCAGGAGCTGCAGAACCGGATGCGGCTCCGCTGCGTCCGCGCCTGCTGCTGCTGCTCCTGCTGCTGCTGATGATGATGATGCCGTCGCAGCAGCCTCGCCTGCCCCCTGCTGCGGTGGGTGCTGCGGCGGTGGCGGTGGCGGCAGCGGCAGCACGTGCAGCACGGCCGCGGCGCACCACGCCACCGTCACCAGCTGGTCGCTCGTCAGCTCGTCACGACGAGCCAGCAGCGCACGCGAGACGCCGCGGAAGAGGCCGTCAGCATGAAACGGGAAGCGGTCCCTGCCGGCAGTGTCCCCGGCCTGGCCGTAGCGGGGGTCTACGGCGGTTACCCCGGGGTCGGCAGGCGGGGCGGCGCCGGGTGGGGCCGTGTCGCAGCCCGCCACCCACACCGCAAACGCCTCCATGAGCCCCACTAGGTGGTGCAGCTCGGGGGGGTCAGGCAGCTGCAGCTGCTCGTGCTGCCGTTGCTGCGTTGGGAGGGACGGCGGCGACGACGCAACTGTGAAAGCGGGGTCGGCAGCCGCATTGGAGGGGCTTCCAGCGATCCCTCCTCCTGCAGCACCAGCAGCCGCTCCATCTGCCTCCAGCCCCGCTGCCGCCAGCTGCGCCACCGCCGTCATCAGCTGCGGGTGGTGCAGCCGCAGTGCCGAGTGCGCCCACGCCACATCCGACAGCACCTGCACCTCCAGTCCGGGGCCCATCCGCAGCTGGGACCCGCCCGCCGCACCCGCCCGCCAGTCCGGAGTCAGCTGCTGCTGCTGCTGCAGATGCTGCTCTGCTCCCGCTGTGCCTTTCAGCTCTTGGAAGCCGAGCGGCAGCGGCAGCGGCGTTATCTTAGTGGCGGCGGCGGACGCCGACAGTACGACACGCGCGCATGCCGCCATCAAGCCCTCATCCAGACGTCCCACACTGGCCGCCGCCCAGGCCACAGTCGCCAGGTCAGACGGCGTGAACGCGGGCGCATGCTGCGCGGCCGCTCGCACCGCTTTGACCATTAGGTCCTCACAGTCGGGCAGACGCGAGGTGGCTAGCGCCCAAGCCAGCGCGGCGATATCCCGGGGCTCAAGTCGCGGCAGCTGCTGCCTCAGCCGCACCGCCAGGTCCCGCAGCAGTGGCCCCGCCTCGTCCGCTCCATGCGCCCCCACGGCCACGAAAGCCCATATCAGCTTCACGATAGCAGCGGCGGAGAAGTCGTGCTCGTTCACTGGGTCGCCGCGGTGGAAGGCAGCGGCTGCGGCCGCCGGCGCCGAAGGCGGCGGACCCGGCGGTACGCCCGCGGGGCCGCCGCCGCCGCCGCCAGCCCCCACCGCCGCTAGCTCCTGTCGCACGAGGCTCGATGCCTTGAGCAGCCGTCTGGCCCGCACCTGCGCCCGGAAGTACAGGTTCTCGTCCACGTATCCCGACAGTGCAAAGGCGCTCATGACGTTTGCCAGCTCCTGCGGGTTCAGTGTGTCCACCAGGCGCCAGCGGTCGCGGAACAGCGCGTCCTTGGCCTTGGCCTGCCAGTAGCGCCGACCGCCGCGCCGGAGACGCGGCTTTGTGGTCGCTACCGTCGGCGAGGCTCCCGCCTGCACAGCGGTTGGGTTCGCCTGCACTCCATGCCGCTTCCTTGGCTGCTGCTGCTGCACCTCCTCCTCATCCTCCTCGTCGTCATCCTCGTAGCTATCCTCATCATCATCCTCAATCTCCTCCTCTTCATCATCCGCACCATCCTCCGCACCCACAACAGCCTCCCCGGGCACCATATCCGCCTCCCGCCGCCGCCGTACACCCACCATCCCCGCCGCATCCTTTCCCTTCCCCCGCCCTTTCCCCCCGCTGCCCCGAAGCGCCGTCAGCGCCACCGCCGTCGCGCTAAAAAAGCCTTCATGTCGTACTCCCAGCTTTGCAAGCGACAGTGCCACGGATGCCAGCTCGCCGCCCTTGAAGCTCCCCGCGATCGCGGCCGCCACCAGGGCGGCGGCGGAGAGGAAGCCGGGCGGCGAGCGGTGCCCTACTGCCGCCAGCGCCCACAGCGACAGGACCAGCGGCTGGGGCTGGATGGAGGGCAGGCGGCGGCGCAACGCGGTGCACAGGTGCGTGTAGACGGCCTGTGCGGCAGCAGGTGCGGCAGCAGTAGAGGTGCTGGGGGAATGGTGGTGCTTAGAAGGAGGTAACGCCGTTGCAATAGCGTGGGGCACGCGAAGGTAGCCGCACGAGGGGGCACCCGGCACGTTAAGGACGGAGGAGCACGTCTTTGGAGGGACACGGCCATGCGACCTTGCGCCTGACTCCCCTCCCAGCCCCTCCCCTCTGCCGTACCCATTACCTGGTCGTAGCACCCTGCCCAGGCCAGTCCCCGCAGCAGCAGCGCGATGCTGACGTCAGCGTGCGGCGACTCCGCCAGGTCGCGGTACGGCAGCTGGCCGGCGCGGCGCAGCAGGGCGGCGAACAGGGCGGGGTCGCGGTACCTGCGCGCAACGTGCCACCGGGCAGCGTGTAGCGCATGGCGGCAGGCAGCAGAGGCTCATCTCTCAAGCAATTGTAAAAGGCAGGGGGATTGCTTTCCTTGTGGGGCATTTCGTGGAACCAATCCTCCATCACCACCCCTTCACCCCGCTGGTTCCCCGCCACTCCAGGTTTCCGCACGCCTCCCACGCTCCCCCCTCCCCCGCCCCCACCTGGCTTCCTGGTACGCCGCCGCCACCATGGCCGCCTCCCGCAGCGACAGCCGCCCCGCGCCCCCCGCCGCCAGCCGCCGGGCGCCCTGCTCCAGGTAGGCGCGCCAGGTGGGGCCGGTCAGGCCCCGCCGGGATAGCGCCCACAGCACCTGACAGGCAGGGATGCAGGCAGGGATGCAGGCAGGGAGGGGACGATACTGTGAGGTAGGAGACGGAGACGAGGGAAAGCGCAGCACGGGACTGGTGTTCAAGCAGCCACGCATTGTTCCTGTTACTGCGGCCTGTGTGGCATCCGCATGCAGGTGTGCGCACTGCCAACGGAAAGCACAGGGGTCATGCAAAGGAACGCCGCCCTTCACACTGCCAGAAGGAGCAAACAGGGTTTCACTTCCCCCCCTCGCCCCCACCTGCGCCGCCTGCCCCTCCTCTCCCTGTCGTACGATATGCAGCTCCCCCGCCCGCAGCGCCAGCAGCTGCAGCACATCCGTGTACACCAACGGCTGGTGCTGATAGCGGTTAGGTTGTGGTGGATTAGTAACCCCACCACCACCATCACCACCACCGCTGCTGCCAGCCGCCCGGATCACCGTCGCGGCCTCCAGCACCGTCCTCAGCGCCGCTCGCGGCAGCAGCAGGCGGGTGGGCTGCAGGCGCAGGGTGGTCAGCGCCCACAGCAGGCTGGCCACGTGCTGGCTGCGCAGGTACGGCAGGGCGGACAGCAGCGCGGACTCAGCCAGGCGCAGCAGGCGGCAGGCGGGGTCGGCGCGGGCGCGGGCGAGCGCCCACACGGCGTTGGACAAGTCCTGAGGGGCGGAGGGGGGGGGCGTGTGTGTAGTTGAGTAGGACAAGAGCAAGCTATTGGGACATCAGTGGTCGTAAGCATGATGGGCGTCAGAGCATGACGAGGGAACTAAAAGACACGGGGCTGCGACACGTCCCCCACTGCACCAGGCAGTAAGCCCCATGCCACAGCACACCGCAAGCGCCTTCCCTCCCTGCCTCCCTCACCCCACCCTCTCAGCCCGCTCCCCCTGCCGTCCCCCTACTCCCACCTGAGCATTAACCATGCCGCCCGCCACCCCCACAACCCGCCCGCCCGCCACCGCCGCCGCCAGGTGAGGCTCCAGCGCCCGCATAAGGCCCTCAAACACCGCATGGTGGCAGTGCCGTACAGTCGCCAGGGCCCACATGGCGTTACTCAGCTCGCGAGCCGGCAGCCCGCCGCGGCCGCCGCCGCCGGCCGCACCGCGCTCACCCGCAGTTAGCCTCTGCAGCAGCGCATCGCACAGCATGTCCCAGAGCTGCGTCCCGCCCAGGCTCGCAGCTGCGGTGCGAGGAGTGGCATGCGGTGTGAGGTGCCCTGCGGAGGTTAGTCTGGCCAGACCCCACATCGCCATCACCAGCTGCCGCCCGCCTAGCCGGTCCGCAGCATGGAGGGGGCCGAGGCAAGCACGGCCGCGCAGGGCGGTAGCACCCGCTGCGGCTGCTTCCGCAGGGGTTCCAGTGGGGTCATGCGCGGTGATATCCTGGCCACCACCTGTTGCATTCGGTGCTGCTGCTGCTGCTGCTGGTGCCGTTGTTGGTGCGCTGTTCAGCGGTTCACGTGCGGCAGCCCCCTTCAGCTGCCGTACCAGCTGGGCCGTCAGGGCCGCCACACAGCCCTTGCCGTACCGCCGCATGGCATCGGGCGGCAGCGGCGGGACCGCAACACCGGCGGCAGCACCGGGAGCTGGCGCCGCCGCCGCCGCCGCGGTGGCAGCGACGGCTGCTGCGGGCTGGTACTGCTGCTGCTGCTGCTGCTCGTGATGCTGCAGCTGATGCCCAGAACCATCGTCGCCGGTATCACGGTCCTCAGAGGCCGTGGTGGGCGTCGCAGTGGTGGTTGTCAGCTTGGCCAGCGCCCACAGCAGCCTGCAGGCGCGCACCGGGTCCAGCTGCCCGCCTGCCGCCGCCTCCGCAGCAGCAGGCAGCAGCAGCTGAACCAGCTGGGAGAAACTGGCGGCGTCTAGCGGACGGGAGGACGGCGGCGGTGCTGGCGCCTCTGCCGTGGCCGCCTCTGCCCCGCTGACGGGTGCGTAACCCGGTCCTGCCGTACCTGCTGCTGTTGCCGGTGAGATTTCCGCCGGCACACTCGCAGCCAGGTTCCTGGTACGGAAGCTGCCCAAGTCGTGCAGCGCCCCCCGACCGTCCAAAAAGTGCGCCGCACGGAACAGCGCATCCGCCGCAAACACGCCGTCCAGCGTGGCACCGTACTGCCGTACAAGTTCAGCCCACGTGTGTATGTCGGCGCCACGGACGCGACCCAGCAGCGAGGACATTGTCGTCGTCGCCGCCTGCGTTGCCGGAGCCCCGTCGGGGCTGTTGACAGCTGTTCGCCAGGGGTTGCTTGGCAAGGCCCTTGCAACGGAGTGTCCGCCACCATTAGGCGGCAGGGCGGCAGCGGGGCTCCCGCTGGCGCTGCTGTCACCGCTGCGAGAGGGCAGCAGCTGCTGCTGCGGAGGAGGAGAGAGCTGATCCTCATGCGGCTGTGGCTGCGGGACCTGCGCCGGAGGAGGCCGTGGGGGCGGGCAGGGCTGCGCCGGGGGCCTCCGTTGCTGGTGTGGCGGCGGGGGCGGGGGCTGCAGGAGGGTGGTGTGTGCGGAGGTGTTGGGGCGGGCTGGTGGTGGTGGGGGTAGTGGTGGCGCATGGGGCCCCAGGGGGCCCAGTGCCGCGGCAGCGAGGGGCGCTGAGCCGCTGCGAGCCATGCGCGCCTGCGGTGGTGGTGGTGGTGGTGGTGGGTGAGGAGGGTAACAGTGGAAGGAGCGGGGGGCGTGTCGGTTGCTTCGCAGCGGCCACAGTTTGCACACCTACAGCCACACACTGCCAAGAGGGGCCAACGCCAATGCAGGGGTGTGGCTGTAGGGCTGGTATCGTTCTGACACACGGTGTGCCCAGGACAGGACCCCGACATCCCATCATGAAACCCTGGGCATGCAACCGCTGCTGCATCTGACCGAGGGCTTATGGAGGAAGGGCGCTTCTGGCAATGCCTGCGGCGTTGTTTGTCCCTTTAAGACACCTAAGGCATCCCAATTACACGCTTCTTGAGGCCTGCTTGTGCCTCCGTCCGACATGACCCACCCACCTGGGGAGGGCGCCGCGTCCGGCCTGTCCATCCTGGCAGCAACAATCGAACCTGGTGGTAAGAGAGGCACGGGGTTAAGAAGGTAAGGCACGTGGTTAAGAAGGCCGAGGGTTTCTGAAGAGGCCCTTTCACACGTCGTATATGCGTAGCCGTGCATGTTGCGCACAGAATTGTCAGCATCCAGCGACACAATTGTGGTAGGCTCTACCTTGGTTAACAATGGAATGTCGCCTAGCAGGGAAACGCTCTCCATTGGTGTCCACAAGCGCCGCCGGCGAATCGCCTCCACAAACGACCGTGTCGAAATTCGGCGTATTTATATACCAAGAAGTGTCGCGCTTTTTATTCTGGCAACATTAGACGGCCAAATTATCGGTCTTGTGGAACTTGTGTCGGCAATCCTAGACTTTACATGGTTTGCCGTTAAAATTGACAAAAGCACAGCACAGCGCTAACAATACCTACCGGCGTAATGACAAAGGCTCTTGCATTAAGGACCAGTAAATAGGGACCGTACGACGTCCTTTCGGCTTCCAAGGCCAACTGCACTGGGTATCAGGGATTTATCGTCTTTAACGCTAAGGGTTCGTGTTCTAGCGGTAGCTGCTACTTGGTAACTCCTGGTTACGGTTATCAATATGTTTACCGCATAGGACAGCCGTCGCTTACATAGCAGCTTTACCTGTAAAGTAACGAACTGAACTCTTATTTAAAAGTTTAAACAAATTTCTCCATTTATCTGCAAAAAAACGCGTTGTAAAGCCGCCGCCGCCGAAAGCAACAACGGAATCGTGCGCCTGCGCCGCGCTGAAGGCGCTGTCATAGCCGTTATACTGACGCTGAGTCGTTAGAAATGAGGAAAAAGGTTGATGGACGCATCCGGACGCTTATCGAGAACTGCGCTAAGACGCGACAGCGCGCTTTGCTGGTTCTCGTGGGCGACAAGGGACGTGACCAAGTCGTAAACCTGCACTACATGCTGTCAAAGGCGAGCGTCAAGGCACGGCCGTCCGTGCTATGGTGCTACAAGAAGGACCTCCACCTCAGCAGGTGCGATGGACCCGGCGACCCAGCACCCCTCTTCCGACCCCACCCTAGTGTCCAGCACTGAAGGGGCAATGAGGAAGGGGGCGAGGGGATATGGATGCGGTGTGAGGACTTCAGCCCCGCGGGGCTGCTAGGTGTTGTCCGGTGGTGTGTGCATCATCGAGGGCAGACGGGGTGACACTGCAACTCTGCACAGCCTATCCCCCCCCCACACACACACTCGTCGGGATTCCTTATCGGCCAAGAAACTATCATTTGACTTTCAACCTCAACCTCGCACTTTGAATGTCCCTTTCTGTAAACCCTCGTTTGCACCATCCCTCCCTCCCTTCCTCCCCGCCTCAGCCACCGCAAGAAGCGCATGCGCCAGATCAAGAAGATGGCCCAGCGCGGGCTGCTGGACGCGGAGAAGGAGGACCCCTTTGCGCTCTTCGTGGCCTCCACCAACATCCGCTACTGCTACTACCACGAGACCCAAAACATCCTGGGTAACACGTACGGCATGGCGGTGCTGCAGGTGGGCTGGAGGGTGGGGGCTGGGGTGGGTAATACCGGTAACTCGCCCCCTCTCCTCTCTCGCACAGCATGGGGGTTGTATGTCAACCTACCTTCCTCATCCTTCTTATCTCAGGGTTGGTGGCTTCCTCTCCACTCCTACACCACCTGTCCGCTCCCCCTTCCCCTCCTCTCCCCCCTGTTTCCATTTTTCCCCCCCTGCCGCCCCCCCTCCCCTCCCCGCCCAGGACTTTGAGGCCATCACGCCCAACCTGCTGGCTCGCTCCATCGAGACGGTGGAGGGCGGCGGGCTGGTGGTGATGCTGCTGTCCAACCTCAACTCCCTCTCGCAGCTCTACACCATGACCATGGACGCACACACGCGGTTCAGGACGGAGTCGCACCAGGTGGGAGGGGAGGGATGGGAGGGGAAAAAAAGAAATTCCAGGTGGGGAGGGGAGGGGAGGGGGTCAAGGTAGATCGTACCGTTGGAAACCACGAAGTAGATAGGCAGAATAATGGGGAAAAGAGGTGGCAGGGAGCCATAAGACAAAGGGAGGGTTAGCGGTCAGGTGAGGGAAAGGTGAGGTGAGGGGAGGGAAGGGCTGGGAGGGAGTCGCGAGGAAGCACTGACCGTGATCCTAGGAGGGTTAGAACCCTCCTGCCTCCTCCACGTGCGCTCCGCCCTCCTCCAGACTGGCTCTTCCCATGTCACCACCCGTCCCCCGCCCCCTCCTCCTCCGCCCCTTCCCCCCACCCACCCCCCAGGACGTCGTGGGTCGGTTCAACGAGCGGATGGTGCTGTCGCTGGCCTCCTGCCCGCACTGCCTGCTGCTGGATGATGAGCTCAATGTGCTGCCCACTTCCTCGCTGGTGAGGGGGCGGGGCTGGGTGGCGGGGGGCGGGGGACAGGGCGGTGGGCGGGGAAACGTAGCGCAGTACTGCTTTAGGACTCAGAATAGCAAGCCTATTCCTAACCACCTCCCAACCTTTCCCCCCTCCCCTCCTCCCTCCCCCACAGGTGCGCCACATCGCTCCGCTGCCCACCGGCCCCGACGGCGCCCCGCTGGAGGACCCGGGGCGGGCGGCGCGGGAGGAGCTGGCGGAGCTGAGCGGCAGCCTGGCGGACACGCAGGTAGGTGGGGGAGGGGGAGGGGGAGGGAAGGGGGGAGGAGAAGGGGGTCGACCGGGAGGTGGTGGTGAGGTGGAGGCGGAGAGGGGGGGATGTCTGAAGTGGATGGCGGGTGGCGGTATAGGGGCAGAGAGCCCGTAGAGAAAGCCCGTCCAGAGCAGCCTAGGCCCCCCCTCTTCCTTGTGTCCCCTTCACTTCCCCTCATCTCACCCTCACCCCCCCCACCCCCCTCCCCCCCCCAGCCCGCCGGCAGCCTGGTGTCCCGCTGCCGCACGCTGGACCAGGCTCGCGCGCTGGTGACCTTCCTGGACGCGGCGAGTGAGAAGACGCTGCGGAGCACCGTGGCGCTCACGGCCTCGCGAGGCAGGGGCAAGGTATGGGGGGAGGAGGAGGGAGGAGGGAGAGAAGGGGGGGTTGAGGGCAGTGTGGGGCGTGGTTGACCTCCGTTACGACGGCATAAGGTCCTGCTTCGCCCACATCGCCCCTGCCTGTCTGCCCACCCGCTGACCTCCTCACCTCTCCCATGCATCCAGCCCGGTGCGGAGAATACCCCCCCCCCTCAGCTCCTAACCTTATCGTGCATGCCCTCCTGCCTACCCCCCCTCCCCCCCCTTGCAGTCCGCGGCGCTGGGTCTAGCCATCGCGGGCGCCCTGGCGCTGGGCTACTCCAACATCTTCGTGACGGCGCCCTCGCCCGAGAACCTGAGGACGCTGTTCGAGTTTGTGTTCAAGGTGGGTAGCTGAGCAGAAACAAGAGCAAGACCGGCCGCGAGTCGGAACGTACTGTGTTTGCAAGAAGTTGAAGTGCATGTATGTTAAGACAACTGGCCGCGAGGGCATGTATGTATGTGGGTCTGGGTGTATGCAGCGGGCGCTCTGAGGAAGGGATTGGGAGGGTGTCGACGTGGTGCTAGGGGTAGAGAAGGTGCTTTAACACCCGCCCCCTCCCTCCCTTTGCCACCTGCTTCACTTCATACTTCTTTTCCCCCTGCCCTCCCCCTGCCCTGTCCTCCCCCCCCCAGGGTCTTGACGCGCTGGACTACAAGGAGCACATCGACTACGACCTGGTTGAGTCCACCAACCCCGCATTCGGGAAGGCGGTGGTGCGGGTCAACCTGTTCAGGAACCACCGACAGGTGAGGGGGGGAAGGGGTAAAGAGGAAACAACCTGCTCCAACCGTGTGAAAAGGCTTATCTGTCGGTGTGTGGGGAAAATTATATAAGAAATGCAAACAACTAAAGTCCCAATCAGTCGGTGTGTGTGGGGGGGAGAGACACTGACGAGGCAACACTGGCTGGCGGGGGAGGGGGAAAGGGATGGGAAGGGCGTGGTGAGTTCTCTTCACGCCTCCGCAACAGCGCATGACAACAATGCACCCTGCCCCGGCACTCGCGAACCTCCTCCTCCTCCTCTTCCCTACCTTTGGTATACCTCTGACCCTCCTACCTCTCCCTCTCCCGCTCCTCCCCCCCACTCCCCCCCCAGACCGTGCAGTACATCCAGCCTCAGCACCACGCCAAGCTGGCGCAGGCGGAGCTGCTGGTGATCGACGAGGCGGCCGCCATCCCGCTGCCGGTTGTGAAGCAGCTGCTGGGGCCCTACCTGGTGTTCCTGTGCTCGACGGTCAACGGATACGAGGGAACGGGTGGGGGGGGGAGGGGTGGGGGGGGGTAAAAAGAGGAAACTGACGAGCTGTACGACTAGGCTGGGGTGGGGGGTGGGGGAGGAGGAGGGGGGGGGTACGATACGCGGCGTCCTCGCTTCGTTCTTTGTCGGGTCTCCCCCAAGAGGGCTATGTACCCAGCCACGGCGCCCGTACGTACCCAACTCCAGCTGTTTATACTGTCCATATACTCAACCCTCACCTTGCCGCACCCCCACCCCTCCTCCCGCACCCCCTCCTCCCAGGTCGCAGCTTGTCCCTGAAGCTGATTCAGCAGCTGCGCGAGCAGGGAGCCAAGATCGGGGGTGGCGGTCCCCCGGGGGCCGCGGCGGGGGGCGGCAGCGGCGAGGGCAAGGAGGGTGCGGGCGGCAGTGGCAGTGGCAGTGGCAGCGGGGGGGCGGTGGGGCGCAGCTTCCGAGAGGTGCACCTGGGGGAGCCCATCAGGTGCGGGGGAGGGAGGGAGGGAGGGAGGGGGAGGGAAGGGGTTGGGCGGGACGGATGGGGGTTTGGAGGCGGCCAAGGGTGTTGCACACCCCTGCACCTTGCCACGGTCAGGACACACTCAGCGGTTCGAGCGGTGCGCATCCGTGCATGTCAGACTGTATTCTGCTTCACTATAATTCATCCCCCCCCAGGTACGCCCCCGGCGACCCCATCGAGTCCTGGCTGCATGAGCTGCTGTGCCTGGACGCCGCCTCGCACCTGCCCAAGCCGCCGCCCCGCCTGCCGCACCCCTCCGACTGCGAGCTGTTCTTCGTGGAGCGGGACACGCTGTTCTCGTACCACAAGTGAGGGGGATGAAAATAAGGAAAACTGACGAACTGAGGGGACGGGGGCAGAGGGAAGGAGGAGGAGGAGGTGTTGCTTCTCCATGTGTCTCCATGCCTAACAGGTCAGCAGCACGCTGGCAGGGGTCGCATGCCTGTTGGGTTGTACGCATTGCCGCTGCTTGTCCTGGTAAAGCAAGCCAACCATCCCTCTCCTCCCCTTCCCTCCCTCCACCCCCCCCTCCGCTCCCCCAACCTAACAGGGCCAGTGAGCGGTTCCTGCAGCAGATGGTGGCCCTCTTCGTGGCCTCCCACTACAAGAACACCCCCAACGACCTGCTGCTCATGAGCGACGCGCCCGCGCACCAGCTCTTCGTGCTGCTGCCGCCCGTGGACCCCACCAGCAACACCATGCCGCACATCCTGGCGGTGGCGCAGGTGGGGGAGGGGGGAGGAGGGGAGCGGGGAGGAGGGGAGGGGAGCGGGAGGGAGGGGAGGGGAGCGCCTGAGGGGGCGTGAGGATCAACCATAACCATATTAACCACTCGGCACGGCTCCCATACCTGGCGGAAGCAGGGGATATACACAGCTGTATACCGGTATCACTCTCCCCTGCTGCGCTGTACGGCCTTACCAACCCTCCTCCCTCCCCTCCCTCCCCCCCATCAGGTTGCCCTGGAGGGCAGCATCTCCAAGCGCTCCGCCGTCAACTCGCTGTCCAAGGGCGACCTGCCGCAGGGCGACCTCATCCCCTGGACCGTGTCGCAGCAGTACCAGGACCCCGACTTCCCGGCGCTCAGCGGGGGGCGGGTGGTGCGCATCGCGGTGCACCCGGAGCTGGGCAGGGCGGGGTACGGCAGCAGGTGCGGGCGGGGGGGGGAGGGAGGGATGGGGAGGGATGGGAGGGAGGGATGGGGAGGGATGGGGAGACGGGCAGGGTTGCTAGCGGGTAGTGTCCCGTGTCCTCGACCTGACTTACCCGCTCCTTGTCTTACGCCGCCTCCCTCTGCTGTCCTCTCCCCTCCTTCCCACCCAGGGTGTTGGAGCTGCTGCGGCGCTACTACCAGGGCGAGCTGACCAGCCTGGAGGAGGAGGAGCAGGAGCAGGAGGGGCGCAGCAAGGGCGGGCGGCAGGGTCAGGACGGCAAGGGGGCGGCGGCGGGCTCGGAGGAGGGCTCGGAAGACGAGGAGGAGGAGGAGGAGGAGGCGGAGAAGAAGAAGAAGTCTAAGAAGGCTTCCAAGCAGGAGGAGGATGGGGAAGATGATGAGGAGGAGGAGGACGGGGAGGGCGGCAGCAAGCGCAGTTCCCAGCTGCTGACGGAGCGGCTGGGTCCTCGCAAGGGGCTGCCGCCGCTGCTGGTGAGCCTGGCGGACAGGCGGCCGGAGCGACTGCACTACCTGGGTGGGTGGGGGGTGGGTGGGGGTGGGGCGGGTGGGATGGGGTTGTGGCATGGCGATTGGAAGGGGCTGCGGAAGGGGTGGTGTAGTTGGACGCACAGAGAGGGGCATCCGGAGGAGGGTACGGAGTGGCGGGACAGTCCGCGCACCGCGCATCGCTCCTGTGTCCCCCGCTCCCCCGCTTACCTGCACACATGCACGCACCCACCCCTCCCCCCTCAGGCGTGTCGTACGGCCTCACCCAGCAGCTGTACAGCTTCTGGCGCAAGGCCGGCTACTGCCCGCTCTACCTGCGCCAGAGCGCCAGCGACACCACGGGCGAGCACACCTGCGTGATGCTGCGGCCGCTGGAGCACCCGGGGGTGGCGGGGGTGGGCTGGCTGCAGCCCTTCGTGACCGACTTCAAGGCGCGCTTCACGGGGCTGCTGGCGGGGGCGTTCCGGGACATGCCGCCCGCGCTGGCGCTGAGCATCCTGGACCCGCAGCTCACCTGGGGCGAGGCTGATGCGCAGCGGGCGGCGCAGGAGGGGGTGGTGGTGATGCGGGGGGATGGCAGCGCGCTGGACGCATACGACCTGAAGCGCCTGCAGGTGGGGGCGGGCGGAGAGAGGGGGAGAGGGATGGATTGGAAGCGGGATCAGGGGTGGGAGGACGCTGTATTGCGGGGATGCATGCATGCTGCTTCGCCCTACGACTCACCTCCTATCTCGCGCACGCCCGTCCTTACCGTCTCCTCACCTCACCCCCTCCCTCCCTCCCTCCCCTCAGGCCTACTCCGCCAGTCTGGTGGACTACCACCTCATTCTGGACCTGCTGCCCCCCCTGGCGCAAGCCTACCTACGCGGCCGCCTGCCCGTGTCCCTGTCGTACGGCCAGGCAGCCATCCTGCTCGTACTCGGCCTGCAGCGCCGCGAGCTGTCCGAGCTGGAGACCGAGCTGGGGCTGCCGGCCAACCAGCTGCTCGCGCTCTTCAACAAGGCAGTACGGAAGGTGTACGGATGCCTGCGGGCGGCCAAGGAGGCGGCGGTGGCGCGCACGTTGCCGGCTGTGCGACATGCGGGCGCGGGGGAGCTGATGGCGCCGCATGAGGTGGGGCTGGATGCGGAGTTGGATGAGGCGGCGGAGGCGGAGAAGGCGAAGCTGCGGGAGCGCTACTTGAAGGCGGAGGATCTGGCGCAGTTTGCGATCCGGGGCGGGGATGAGGAGATCCAGGCGGCGTTGGGAGGGCGTGCGCCGGCGGCGGGAGGCATTGTGTCGGTGAAGGGGAAGGTCGAGGGGGAGAAGGGCGGTGCGAAGGGCGGAGAGAAGGGGGAGAAGGGGGCGATGCTGTATAAGAAGTCGGGGGATAAGCAGCAGAAGATCGGCGGCGGGAAGGGAGGGATGAAGAAGAATAAGTACGGGTCGGCACCTGGATTGGGTGGGGAGGGGCGGCCGGGGAAGAAGCAGCGGCAGTAGCAGAGGGGTGCTGGTGAGGTGAGGTGGGGTTAGTTTGGTGGGGTTGGTATGGTGGGGCGGGAAGGTGAAGGAAGGCAGCGGCGCAGAATGACTGTTGCAAAAGGGTTACGAGGGCTTTGCAGATGGTGCTGTACGGCAGTCGTGGAGTGCTGTCTGGCATTTGGGTAGCCGAAGAAGCCGGTGTGCCACAGCCGCCTTGCATGCATGTTGAGACCCTTAACCCCTGATTGGCGTTGCCCATGAAGAGTGGTCCATGGCAGCCGGTCGCGTTGCTGTGGGTGGCGGAACGCACAGCAGCACACAATGCGGTTTTAGGGCCCTAGCAGGCAGTGTGGCACGGACCTTCCCGGGTGAGGCGGCTTGCCTACAAGGCCACGTTGGCATCAAGTACGGCGTCAACTCCGGCCACTGCTGCAATCGGGGCTGTGCCCCTTCCCTTGCAGGGTAGGGCTGGGTATCATCTGCTCTCGCCAACCTTCGGGTTAGGGTCGTCATTGTAACGGCCATTCATTCACGGTTCATGGGGGAGCCGTCTCACATGGTTAGCTTCCCGGCCCCTTTTGCTTGCCTGGGCAGACCACCTACGGGTAATTCCCTACTAACTGGAGGCACCCGGACCCGCACCCTGCCTGCCCCCCCACCTCTGTCCACCCATGAGTGGTGTTGCCCGAACCACATCAGGAAGAGGAAAAAATACATTCAGTAGATTGTTTACAGTATGTTTATCGAGTATATATGTACACTCCATACCGAGTTTGGCAATGCCAGGAAAAAGATAGGAAACCCTGGGAAAAAAGCAGACCCAACCTGCCGTACAGTCACCTTTGGGCGCTGATAACGTCTTCCGTACAACTACAAAAAAATCCCTGAAAACAGGTTTCGACGAGCTCTTTTCATGTGGCATGTTCTTGCGTTTCCTATTTCCCTCCCCCCTAAGAAGCACACGGAAAACAACCACCGGGTCCCCGGACTACACCCACCTACCCTGTCGTACAGCCACACTTGATTCCTAATAGTTTAGACGTAAAAATCCAAACAAAATTTAGAAAGCAGATTTGGAATGCTCTCATTGAATTTTTAGATCATGGGATCAGTCCTCGCGCTCCTTACCCCGTGTATAACCTAAACACAATTCTGGAACAATTGGATTGTCTTTAAAAATATACCAATCAAGAACCAATGGAGGGGCCGCCGACTGCTCCAGCACCTCTAAACCTACGTTCAACCTGCAGCAGGTATCACTCCCGTCAATCGTGCTCCGCAGCCTCCTTCAACTTCACCTCAGCACACACCGCCCATGCATGCTTGCACCAAACGCCTAGGGGTGCCACGCACGCTAGCAAACCCGGGCAGCGGAGGCTTGCTGGCGGCACCTACAGCTAGTCTACAGGTCTACAGCTTAGACCCCTAGCACGGTCTGCATGCTTACGCCCAGCCCGGCTGCACAGCGCCCAGGTCAGCGTTATCGCGCGTCAGGAGTTGCAGCGGTTGCTGGCGGCTGCCCATCTTTGCCGTACTGGGTATTGCTGTACAGGTACACCCTCTTGGAGGCGGTGTACTCCCCGAGCGCATTGGCGGGATTGTAGCCACCAAAGGCATACACGCCTCCCGCCACCCAGGCCATGCCAAATCTGCAGCATGCGCGCCGCCGCAAGGAAAGACGAGCAGAAGGGGTTGCTTAGGTAGGGTGCAGAAGGATTTGTTGGGCAGGCGTGCAGGAGGCGGGAGAGCCAAGAGCGGGCATGAAGAGGATGCAAGACGGGCAGGGGTGCCGCACCCAATGGAATCCAAACGACAAGCGTTTAGCCTTGGCTGCGGGCCCGCAACCGTCTACCTCTCAGTGCACGTGTGAGCGCCACCGCATCGCAACTGGCAAACCCCTGCACCGCCCATATGCCTGTCCCGCAACCACCTGTAGAGCGGCTGCGGCAGCGGCGCCCTCCGCACCCAAGTGTTGTCTGCCACGTTGTACTCCTCCACCTCGCTCCAAGTGCTGAACCGTCCGTCGACGATGCACTCAGCGTTCGCGCAGGCGCCTCCAGCCGCTAGGATGCGTCCGCCTGGCACCGCTGCAATGCCAAAGTCGCTGCGCGCCGTGGTCATGGGGGCCATGGTGGACCAGGTTCCGGAGGAGGGGTCGAACCGCTGCATGGGGCAGAGGGGGCGGCAGCCACGTTCGTTCACTAGCCGGAGGAAATTGCGCGATATATGGGGGTAGCTGCATGCTTGTAGGGGTAGCTGTATGCAGGAGGCGAAAGGGTAGGCTCAGAGGGTCTGCGGCGACCACTGTAACCCCATGTATCGTCATGGCGGGAATAGCGTGTGGGGCTCTGCAGGAATGCCGTACACCTCCAGTACCGCTCCTCCTGCCCCAGTGCTGTCAACTGAGCAAGGTATTAGCCGGGAACTTGGGCGCATTGCGCGCAATGGAAATTACGCTGAAAATGGGCTGGTTGCGCGCAACGGTCCCGCGCGACACGCCCATGTTCCTGGCTTAACAAATCTGCCTCATTTTAATCTGCAGTATGTATTTATGTGCATAGCGCAATACTCTCTATGTGAAGCGTTCACCGGCGTCGCGAAAGGTGCAAGAAACGTTGTCGACCATGTATGGGCTGGTTGCGCGCAACGGTCCCGCGGGACACGCCCAAGTTCCTGGCCCGACAATTTCGTCTTGGTTTTAACTGCAGTATGTATTTACGGGCATAGCGCCCTAATCTCTATCTGCAGCGTTTACCGGCGTTTCGAAAGATGCAAGAAACGGTGTTGACTATGTATGGGCTGGTTGCGCGCAACGGTCCCGCGCGACATGCCCACTTTCCTGGTCTCACAAATCTGTCTCGTTTTACAGCGCAGTATATATCTATGTGTAGCGCCTTTCCTTTGTTTGCATTTGCGATTGACTTAATGGCGCAAACCCACTTATAGCATACTGGGATTCCACATATACTGCTTATCCCAGGTATCGCTACGCTGGCCCGAACTGCTGATCTAAGTACTGTGTTCCTCATAGAGTGTCACAATGTCGCCCTTTCCCGAAGTCAGGGAGCATGGCGAAAGTCGTTGACAGAGCTGCCCTTCAATTAAACGCCTTTGCGACAAATGCACCGTTCTACCTAACATAAACTGCAAAACAAGAAAAGCCACAGAAAACGCTGGAGGTGCATACTGCTGGAGGCCATGTCGGTCAATTGACCAAACTGAACCTTCTCTCGCGAACATTGCTAACCGCCAGGACAGGACTAAACAAACGATCAGCTATAGCTTGAAGGCGCGACTTTAAGAGGGAAGTCTTGCCATGGGCAACTTACGGGCCCACGGGACCGCACGACGTTAGGAAACCGCACAAGCCTCAAGGTATACACAGGATAGGCCCGTTCCGGCATAAGGCAATGCACAAAGCATGTAAACAAGCGTAATGCTGAAGTGGTTGCGGCATGCGCGCATGGTTGTGGCGGTAAACTTGTCTTTGATCAGGGACCTAGTCAAACCAAGGGTTTGGGGCACGTATCCGACCGTGCGAGCAGCACCTGAGCCCGCCGTCGCACCTATAGGCTCCTTAGACATATAGTATCATGTGGCCAAGCGTGGGGCTCGATTGGTTGCGCCGTGCGAGTGTGGTTGGGCAGGATGTGCCGTTCAGACCGGGTGCATGGTTGGGGGCCTAGTCAAACCCAGGGTTTGGGGCACGTATCCGACCGTGCGAGCGGCACCTGAGCCCGCCGTCACACCTACAAACTCCTTAGACATATAGTATCATGTGGCCAAGCGTGGGGCTCGATTGGTTGCGCCGTGCGAGTGTGGTTGGGCAGGATGTGCCGTTCAGACCGGGTGCATGGTTGGGGGCCTAGTCAAACCCAGGGTTTGGGGCACGTATCCGACCGTGCGAGCAGCACCTGAGCCCGCCGTCACACCTACAAACTCCTTAGACATATAGTATCATGTGGCCAAGCGTGGGGCTCGATTGGTTGCGCCGTGCGAGTGTGGTTGGGCAGGATGTGCCGTTCAGACCGGGTGCATGGTTGGGGGCCTAGTCAAACCCAGGGTTTGGGGCACGTATCCGACCGTGCGAGCAGCACCTGAGCCCGCCGTCACACCTATAGACTCCTTAGACATATAGTATCATGTGGCCAAGCGTGGGGCTCGATTGGTTGCGCCGTGCGAGTGTGGTTGGGCAGGATGTGCCGTTCAGACCGGGTGCATGGTTGGGGGCCTAGTCAAACCCAGGGTTTGGGGCACGTATCCGACCGTGCGAGCAGCACCTGAGCCCGCCGTCACACCTACAAACTCCTTAGACATATAGTATCATGTGGCCAAGCGTGGGGCTCGATTGGTTGCGCCGTGCGAGTGTGGTTGGGCAGGATGTGCCGTTCAGACCGGGTGCATGGTTGGGGGCCTAGTCAAACCCAGGGTTTGGGGCACGTATCCGACCGTGCGAGCAGCACCTGAGCCCGCCGTCACACCTACAAACTCCTTAGACATATAGTATCATGTGGCCAAGCGTGGGGCTCGATTGGTTGCGCCGTGCGAGTGTGGTTGGGCAGGATGTGCCGTTCAGACCGGGTGCATGGTTGGGGGCCTAGTCAAACCCAGGGTTTGGGGCACGTATCCGACCGTGCGAGCAGCACCTGAGCCCGCCGTCGCACCTATAGGCTCCTTAGACATATAGTATCATGTGGCCAAGCGTGGGGCTCGATTGGTTGCGCCGTGCGAGTGTGGTTGGGCAGGATGTGCCGTTCAGACCGGGTGCATGGTTGGGGGCCTAGTCAAACCCAGGGTTTGGGGCACGTATCCGACCGTGCGAGCGG